AAACTGTCATATGGCGGAAGGTTTGCCTTTGGAAAATATGGTTCGATAACGCTATTGGCCTGCCAAGCCTGTTCTCGAACTTGTTGGAACAAATGATCTGGAATAGGGCCTCTAGGATTAACAACACTCCCACCATACTTCTCATGGAGTTCCTTTCTAATGAATGCGTGAAGTTCCTTATAAGCGGGCTTAATGTCTTCCATCACTCGTTCCATTTCCCGCAAAAATTCTTTATTATTGTAGCAGCGAAACCAAAATTCAAGTACCGGTATGTCTACAAAATATATAATATATACATATATAGTGAGTATAATATATACACCTACATACATAGTGGTATGTACCATATGCATTTGCATATACTTGTGTCATTCAAATAGAGTTCAAAAATATTCTACGTCGTTTCTAATAGATTTTATGCACTTGAAATGGGAAAGAACATATTACCTAGAATCTTAGCAGCCTTTTGAAAGGCTTCAATAATGGTGTAGAAATTAACTGAAGACCAAACCAAATTTTTCTCGCGCCAAGTCTCCCAATAGTATTTCAGTTCATCAGAATCATTGCTGCGCTGAAATATTTTCTGTATATCCGGATAGTACGCTAGCGAGCTATCGTCTTGACTTGGCATATACGCGCCACCCAAATAGGGTTCGATGTCTTTATCTGTAGAAAGTTCTTTGAGAGCAGCGAAGTTTATCAGCACCGATGAAAAGTAATCTTCTCCCAAGACAAATAGCTCGCCAACTCTTCGAAGATTCCGCAAGGCCGTTTTCACTTGCATATCATGGATATTCTCCAAATCATAATCACTAGCCTCTTCGGAAATTGTAACCAGTTCTGCAGCTATTCTTTTGACAGTGGTCAGTTTCGAAAATATTGTATTAAAGTCATCGTCATCTGTGGATGAATATGTTTCCTCTGCAATCTTATTATAAAGCTTATAATAACGAGTACTGGCGTCGGAAATGAATTTGGTCGCATCCGATTGCTTAGTTGCTGCAGCGTTTACATCCTAAAAATTTGTAAAATTTACTCGTATTCATATTATTAAAACAAACTTAAAGTACAGACGGCGCGTGCACTTACATTGATCCAAGCGATGACTGAAAATATCACAATGCTAAATAAACGGCGACGCATTTTGCGTGCTTTCGATAGTTAAACAGAATAAGAATAATGTCAATCACTGCGCTCGGAATCGTACTGAGTGTTCACATTTAAACGCAATTCATTATATTCGACCTAAATGTAAATTCAATCAAAATAAGATGAGTTTTATTGAAACCTCCTTATCTATAATCATGATGATGTTTGTTTGTTATTAAACAAATACAAAAATATTTATGTGGATGTGCAGATCTGTTAAAAAGCTCATATTAATCGAATATATGTATAAGTTTGCAATATATAAGCACCGCTTACTAGCTTAAGAAGTGGAAATACCATTTAAACTTCCTATCATACCTCGTGGGAATGATTATACGTTTATATTAATGAAAAACATATTTTTGTCGCAGCTTGCTCTAATACTAACAGTTAAGTTGTTTTGGGTGTGCCTAATAATAGGGCAGAAATATATATATATTGAGTATTTTTGTGCAGAATATAATAGTTTTTCTCAACTAAAAGTTACTTGTATCACTTAAAAGGAATAAAGGTAAATAAAGTGTTATATTAGGTTGTCAAGAAAGTTTTGCGGTATTTTTAATTGAATTTTCAATTGTTCATAAAATTTTTGATGACTCATGCCCAGCTCTTGACCGATGCTACGGCTGCTACTATGCCGGTTTCTTTCGACCAATTCAGCGATTTTATCGCAATTTTCGACGACAGGCCTTCCGGAGCGTGGCGCGTCTTCGACAACCTCTACACCAGAACGAAAACGTTGAAACCATCGTTGTACTGTGGAAATGGAAACTGTATCGGGTCCGTAAATTGCACAATTGTTATTGGCGGCTTGAGATGCATTTTTGCCTTTATCGTAGTAGTGCAGTAAAATATGCCGTATTTTCTCTTTATTTTGCTCCATGTTTGCGACGTTATAACTCACGAACGAATTAAAAGAAACAACAATCAATCAAACACGTGTTAGCGCGTGAAATGAGCTTTCCAAAAAGGTATAGCATGACCCGATGCGACGAATAAAACTAGAACTACGCGCTCTCATGTATTATATATAGTACACATAAATGTTATGCATAAATTATTAGTCTGAAGGAAGGAGTTCAATTCCGGGTGACTGTCTACCCGTCTGTCCGTGTGTGAAAGCTTTAACTTGAGCAAAACTTGAGATATCTCGTAAGACGGTTAATATTGCAGTTAACGTAATAGGACCATTGCCACGCCCTCAAAGCGTCATCGAACAAAAAGCTATAAAGTGCTATAACTAAGCACCAAATTAAGATAAAAGACTGTACTTGGCACAAGGGATTGCAATTTCGAAAAAATATCTCCTAAACCACTGAAGATACAACTACCAAGCTCAGGACAAATCCCTTAAACATCCCTCCTGACATTGTAAAAATGGATGAAATCGGAAGATAACCCTGTCCACTTCCCATATAATTTTACTGTAAAAAGAGTGCGATAAATCAATAACTACATAAATACGTTAGAGACATAAAATTGAACATCCGAGATGATTCGACAACGCTTTTTGGATCATGGGATAAAAAACATTTAAGTGAAAATCCATATCTCGGAACCTACTCGACCAATCTCCACCAAATTCGGTGCATAACATTTTTATGACATCGCAAGTTACAGCGCAAATTTTTTTAAAATGTGCGTTTTCTCCGTCAAAGTGTGTCGAATGCCTTGCATGAAACTGCTCGTTTTCAAATAGAAAAATATGCAAAATATAAATATTTCTTTGAAAAGTTTCACAGACTTGCTAGATAGCAAAATTGACCGATTTTAGATAGAAAAGTATAAAAAGACAATGAATCATGTAAAAAAATATTAATTGCAAACACCATTAAAATCAAAAGATTATTCCAAAATTTTACATCATCTCTTTTACCTATTTCCTATAAAATTTAAAAGAAATCCAAAAGTATAGTATTAAAATTATATTTAATATAAATAACTTACATTGACATTTTAGCTTTTCAAATGCTGCAAAATTTGAAAGTTTTTGGGCAAGAGTTACGACAGTGATGCCTTTTCGAACTTTCAATTTTGGCGAAGATGACACTTTTGCTTTGTCAAAGTGTTTGCATCAAACCAACATTACCGAGAACGCCTCATTTCAGATGTACAAGTATAACAGAACATTATATTGGGTAGTCGAAAAAGTCTTTTAGTATTTCTAATTAAACTTCAACTAATTTTTGTTTTTTTATATTTATAATAATAAATAAATAAATATCGTCACGTGAGTTACAAGATAACGTCTGTCTCTTATACACATCTAGATGTGTATAAGAGACAGACATTATATTGGGTAGTCGAAAAAGTCTTTTAGTATTTCTAATTAAACTTCAACTAATTTTTGTTTTTTTATATTTATAATAATAAATAAATAAATATCGTCACGTGAATTACAAGATAACGTGTCATCAAAAAATTCGAAATTGAGTGTCTTATTGATTACGCTTCACTACTTCAAATTACATATTAATTTCACATATAATATTTCATATTACATATGTTCAACATTTTCAGGCTCTGCGCTCAGATATAAACCAGTTTTAACCAATATTAAAATTTTCACTCATGTTCCATTTTATTTCGTGTTCCAATCATGCCACTGCAAATTTCCGAAAATGTTATTACGTTATTTTACAATTCAGGTCATGATATGTATTATTTTGGTCGACCACTTTTTGTCATTTTTTCTCTAGAGACATTATTCCATCAGTGTTAATCGAAATTTGGAAATTTCGCTATAACTCACGAACGACTTAAAATAAACAACAATCAATCAAACACGTGTTAGCGAGTGAAATGAGCTTTCCAAATACGCTTTCGAGAACGGAAGCGAGCGAAAACGAAATTATACTGCAGTATTCTGCTTAATTGGCGTAGACACCGCTTTCGCGATTATAGCCGTGGCTGGCTATAACTTTTCACGGGGGTGTTTTTTTTTACGTGGCGGGTCTCAAACCCAGCGCACAACCCCAAAGGCGATATTTTACCTTCTCACTTTAGCTCGCCTTTAAACTGATGTTCTTAGGCTACCCAGAGGATACTTGGTCAAAGACCGAAAGTGGTGAGCTGCTTGAGTCTTATGTAAAAGAATCATTTCTGGTCACTCACAAGTGAATGGCGATCAGAGAACTTTCCTCATTTGCGTGAACATCTACACATAACTCTATCCTCATGATACTGCATTGCGTCCATAAATTTCACAAAGTTCATTGGTGGCTTGCGTGACATTCTTCCCTTTTTATACAAAAATTTCAAAATATAGCGAATTTTTTCATAAGTACCTTTTCGGATGGCCTTCAGCTCTTTCAACGAATTTTGTTTTATCCCTTCGAATACGCTGATCAATGGTATTCATTGCATTTTTGGCTGTAAATTCGGTCAAAATTGTACTCATTTTGGAAAAATTCAGCTTTATTAGGATGAGTCGAGCAAAATATTCATCAAAATCATTCGAACGGATTCGCGAGAGATGTCGAGCTATCTTGCAACCTCTCTAACACTTGTCTGACGATTATAAAGCACCATATCCTTTACTCTTTTAATATTTTCATCAGTTAAAGAAGCCCAAGGTTGTCCAGAACGAGGCTTGTTTTCAAATTTTGAGCATTCTTTGTTCAATATTTTTCTACGTTGTAAAAATCGCAATGCACTACTGTGATGCACCGACTGAAGCAGCTGCTGTGGACAAACTGGGTTACAGATCGCGCTCATATTTGGCATAGTAATTAAAACCGTTCTACCCACTTATCAAAATACATTTCTTTGAAATATCATTTACCCGCAGAATTTAATTACACAATATCTATATCTATAACCTATGTTAACAGTGTAATTCGTATGCAAAATTATTCTTTATTTAGTGTACTGTTATAATGTATATAAAAAATTTTAGGATTATTATTTCCAATAAAAATGCATTCATTTCCTAGAACATGTTTGTAAATTTCTCTCAATTTGCCATTGTGTAGCTGAATTAAGTATTACGAAGTACAACACGGTTTTCGTGGCGAACAACCATGTCGACAATGCTCATATTTGGTGTCAAGAAATTGACCAGGCGGTCCGCCCCAGCGCGTGACAGGCGGTCAAAAGGATATCCCATAGGTCGCCGATCCGGATAGAGACGATCTCGCACACCACAATAGGAGGCTGCGTCGCTGCACGTGCCCACCAATTGTTGCTCGATCTACAAATTGGGTTTGAAATTACTAAAGTAAATATGCTTTACAAAAATACGATTTTCTTTACCCTATCTTGATCATAGTTGGACACCATTACAAACAGCTCACAGCGCAGACCTTCGGGCAAACCTTTCGGAATAAGCATGTGATTGGGCCATCCACAACCACAGAAGTTGAATTCTAGTTCTTCTGCACTACCTGCTGCTGGGCGACTTACATCTAAATTGCGGAATGTGCGCTCAAAAGGAATGGTGACGCTGGACTCAGCCGATCGGCGACGAATGGTGTTTTGGCCAGGATTTACTGAAGATTAATAAGTATTCAAGTTAATTACAATTTAACAGAAGCTTATTACTTACAGGTTACAATGAATTTATCTAACTCTATCATTAGTAAACGTTGATCCTTAAAGAGCATTCCTTGTCCGCGCTCATCTGCTTTCGGTCCCAGAAAAATACGTACTGTACCAAATCGCTGTGCACCACTATTGTTGTTGACGTTAATGGTGTAGGTGAATGGTGTATGTTGCAGATGAGTGAAACGGGCAAACACATTACCACGTGGCACAAAGTCCATTCCTCGGGACAAATCGATGTCAGACTGTTGCCAAAATGTTTGAAGTACATTTGGTCGACCGCCTTCGGGACTCACCTGTACACCCGTAACAGAAATATCATCATAGCTGAGTTCATTTAGGGTGTATGGAGGAAGACGAGTCTTGTGCTCTTGGAAAATGTCATCGATGTACGCGTGCCATCTGTAAAACACGGGATCACGCATAGCAGTGGCAGAATCTCCCATTACACCAAAGGATTCCAAATGACGATGATCGGGATCGTGGGAATAGGAAATAAACACATGCCCCATATTATGGAAATCACCATACAAACTACGATTGGGTGATACAATAGATGACTCCATCATGTTACCCAAAACATCAATTCCGCGCACTTCGTCTAATGGCACACGATTGCCACTTTCCTGAAATTAATAAAATTGTCAACACGAATACTTTTGCACTTGCAATATAATTTATGAGTACTTACATCAGTGGCAAAACCTTGGGATATAGCTTCAAAAATACGATCCCTCCAGCGCTCCAAATCACTTACATCTAAATTAATTTGATCCAACTCTCGGTTTAGGTCCGACAACTTTGTGTCTTCGAATCGTGGTGGCCAAGCGCGACTAGAAACCAAAGAATCCATCTTTGGGAAGTAACCCTCTGAGATTGGTTCTCGTAAATTGTTAAAGCGCACTACTCGTGCGAGATTATTACTAAAACGCTCTAAATTGTAGCGGGCCACTACTTGTTGATGCATGTAGTAGAAGAGCTCTCCGCGACGATCCTTATTCACAATAGCACGATCACCAGCTTCAAAAGGGTATATCAAATGCCAATGCCAATGATGGAGATTAATTCCAAGATCTTCTCGGAAATACCATAATCGATGTTCGGGCTCTAGATCGGAAGCGGTATAATCCCGTGGAATGGTAATTGGCATACGCGATCCCTCGGGAACTACGGTGGCTTCTTCACGTACTTGTCGAAAAACTTGGGAGTCTACAAATTTGTCGGGAAAATTTTGTGCAAAGGATGGTAAATCAAGTCCTTTGGTGTCCGGTCGATGAAGTAGTGCCACAGATAGTGCATAATTAAACAAATACGGATTCACCCGATCTCGGGCATATACAGCTACACTCTGAAGATCATCAACAGAGCGCACTCCCATGAAAATGTCAATCAAACGACCGGCAATACGTCGATGAGCCGGAATAAAAAGCGAAAATTGTGCATCTCTTGGGAGCGACATTGGTAGACGAAGATCTGGGACAGCTATATCTCTAACTGGAATACGTTGTTCAGCCTTTTCACCAAAACGGCTCTGCACCTCATTACCGATGAGACGGTAACGATCGGTGAGAAACTTGTCAGGAACATCGAAAACGGCAGCTTTTCCCTTCTCCATAAAAATGGGTTCATTGGGACGATCGAAGAGCAATAAAAGATTCTTTTTATCGGCCATTATTAACGATGTTTGTAAATCCCCTTCTACTATACACACAATTATTGATAGAAATCGGAGAGCTGACGAATATGCGCAATGTGCAACTGTAGTACCGGTGCGAAACTGATGAATTCCAAAATGAATGTCATCCTTTTATACAAATTCACATATCATAGAGTGCCAATTTACAAGTAAGGAATTATTATCTTGTCTTGGTGGTTACATTTTATTGTGGTTTCTAAAATATATTTAGAACATATGAGTGCCGATAAGATCTTCTGCACAGTACACATTTGTAAATGTGGTTAAAAATGGGAAAAACTTCAACTGCTGAACAACCAATAAAATATATTATTTTATCAAAAGTAGCAAAATGTAGGAACCAAGTATTTAGTACGCATTAAGTCACACACAGTAAACCGATTTGCAGTTGAATGATGTCAATAAATTTATTTTTCCACTAATAATATATTTGACCTATATATAACAATATATACATACGTATGTAAATGTACATATTTCAGATATATTTAATATTAATGTGTTTGAGCCACTTTGCATATACACAAAAAGTAAATATGTAAATGTATGTACATTTTCCCTTTTATATTAATATTTTGATTTCAACTGTGTGCATAATTATTTTTGATTCATTTCCATCATTAATAAATTTAATTCCTACTTTTATGGATATTTTTCTATACGTACATGCAAGTATTTTAGTACAACAAGACAAAAAGTAGTTTATGCATTTTTGTGCATTTCCCTAAACATGCTCTATATAATATTCTAACAAACTATATTCTACTCCCGCATACATGTAAGTATATGTTGGTATGTAAATATTTCTGCAGAACATATTGTGTAAATGGTTAAAATCAATAACTTCAAAAAGCTTCATAGGTCTCTTATATGTTATATTCGTATATTGCAAAAACTTAAAATTTACGCTATAATTTAAAGCTAGAAAATGTACATCGTTTTTTTTTTTTTTTTTTAATTAAATGCACTATAAAGTATGTACCAGCTTCATTTGAGGATAGAAATTTGTATAAAAAGTTCTGATATGTATAGTTTAAGCTCTTTAGAACAGACAGGAAGATGTATTAACAAATTAACATAAAATAGTTATATGTATAGTATACAAAATATTTATATATGTATGCAAGTACCAGTAAGTGTGAAATAATATATATTCACTATAAAGTTGAATACTAAGGGATCGTTTCAGTGTGAAATTTTCGAAAAATCGATTTTTTTTGTTGCATTATAGGATTGTACAATGTAATAAACATTCCCTAACATTTTGAAATCAAAATTCAAGTAATTATAGTGTAATGACTTGAGTTTCTTGTAGAAAGGGAGTAGAGAGGGGAACATAGCGACTTCAATCTTTAAGCGTGTTTTTCACAGAATGGCGTTTTCAAAAAGGTTTCCTCTCTAGAAGAGTTTTAAAGATATCTAGTTCTAAGTTGGAGAGAAGTTTTTTACGTCATTCGCTATTGAAACAAAAGACAAAACAAGTAAGGAAGGGCTAAGTTCGGGTGTCACCGAACATTTTATACTCTCGCATGATAAAGTGATAATCGAGATTTCAGGCGTGGTTGTGAACC